ATATCGAGAAACATTGCATCATCATCATCATCCAAAATAGATCGTTTTGTGAAAAAGCTGCTATTTACAGCTTTGATACGGTTTGTGTTATTGACTACATATCAACAAACCAAAAAACTAAAAAAAATAACATCTGTTGCAGAGTTAAATATTTAGGTTTTGCAGTAAAGGTATTGCCGTAGCTGTAGAGGGAGGAAACTCCTGGTCCTGTCTGCAGATGTACTCACTGCTTTGCAACAATTGTAGTTTGTGTTGGATGATAATCACTGCTGTTTGGTTCATTCTGTCACAGATAGCTGAGGCTGAAACTTTAGAGTCCAAAGCTTCTACAGCTGTGTATTTTCTATAATAGTTTTGCCTGTGTGTGTGTCTGTTTTTACTTTTGCATCTTGTTTGTCTGTACTTTTATAGTTTTTCAACAAAGAAGAACTCATCCAGAGGACCTACTCAACTTTTTTTTAGGTTTGTCTGCACTGTTAGCAAATTAAATCATAAATCGATAGAAGAATTTGAATGAAACTTTCACAAAGTAATAACTGCCTGAACATCTACAACTGATTAACTTTTGAAGTCTGTTGCTTTCAAGATGGCCACCCACCACATCAAAGTGACCTTAGCAAAAACCTAATTGGCCGAAACAGCTAATTGTACAAATATTCAGTAAAATTTTAGTGTTGTAGTATTTGAGTCATCCTCAACACATTGTCAAAAAGCTAATTAATACATTTCATTTTTAAAGTTTGAACAAAACAGAATCCTTTATTTTTAATTTAGTAATCTGTAACTCCATAAAACCCTCAAAAGAATATTTAAGCTAAGGCTCAGAGAAATAAAATTATGTTTGCATCGCAACAAAAACACTCGTTTAATCAGAACAGCTCAAATATTTTCGCCCACTGACTGTTCCCATGTATCTGTTTTTAGCTGGGAACATCCCACCATGTCATGTTATTTCGTTGCAGCTTTGTTGTCCTTATTTGGTCACCGACTAGACATTTTTCCAGGGAGATTAATAGTTTTTATATGTTAAATTCCCACCCTGCTGTCATGTGTACTGCAGGATATTTCTCCCCCGAAACACATAATAAACACACAATCACAACACACACAGAGCAGTTTACCCGCGTCTGCAAGTGCACACACAAACACACGGTCCCTGTCRAAAACTGTCTTTCCCGTTTGTTCCCCCTCCCCTCTTTTTCCTTCTTCAGCTCAGGGCTTTGCATAACAGGTAGTCRCAGACATTTCCTCGTCCTGAGCAGGGATATCCTGGCGCCCGACAGTCGCTCCCTGGTCCGCTGCAGATCTGGCCCAGGGATTCTGGACTAGGACTAAATTTAGACCAAGAGCAGACCCCTTCATTTCACACTAATGCCATGAAACTGAGTGACCACACTCCCTCAAAAGAGTTGGTATCAACAGTGCTCATACTTTTAATAAACTTTTAATAGCTTATCTGCAATAAGAGTGGGTTTACGCTTAAATTTAGCAAAAATAACTGCCAGGCATCAGAATGATTAAACACATCAAAAGGCTTTGAGATTGAGTCTAAAGATTGTCAATAAAAACATGCAGCAGCAAACTACACCTCCAATGGTTTTAAACGCTTCCAAATGGCATTTACTGTCATTCTTTTCTCCGTCCTGAATTAAAAATGTGCACATTGAGTGAGACTTGTCCTCACAGGTAAAGTACCATAAACGCAGTGCATGCTGGTACTCACTGGCGAGTTGAAAGAGTGCAGCGATGGCCTCCTCCCACCACTGGGATTCCTGTGTGATGAAGGGCAGCTCCATCAAGCCTAGAAGGAAGATCAGCTGACCGGCAGTCAGGGCCACTGTCGCCATCAGGTTGCACGCTCGCATCATGTTAAACTGCACTTTAGGGACCAGAAGAAAAGTTGTCATGACTTTTGTTCTRCGTTTCAAATGCGTCCAAACAGAGCACACCACAGGCGAGACAAAGCTTACATGAGGAGAAATGCTTAGTCTAAAAACACGTCTGAATTTTCAAGTGCATCAGAATGTTAGGGAAGCAATAAACTATTCATTTGTAACGAGGCGTTATTGTGATTGCTGGTTTTTTTTGTGAATTGTGAAGCACTTGTTTGTGTAATATTAGCAGAAGGGCTGCCAATTGTGCCCATTAAAGCTTGCCAGTGGAAGTTCAGCATTTCCCTGAGTTGTTCTTGTGTGACATTTTCACAGTGGAGCTTCAGTTAATAAAGCACACAAATCCATCACAGCAGGTGTAATGTTTATCCACATTCTCAAACTCACCAGGGAGTTGGAAAGCTAACAAAAAAAAAAGACCTAAACCTTTTTTTAATAAAACACATTCCATAAATTCTTGTCTGGCTACTATGGGTTAATGTTTACATGATTGTAGTAAATAATYTTGACGGTACATTCATAAATTTAATCTATCAACTTATCTTATTAATGCCCCAGACAGTGAAACTTTTTGTCAGAACTGTAACACTAACATTTTACACCTTTTAGTAATATGTTGTTGTTGATGTGCATCTGTTTTGTAAAGCAGATCTAAACAGAACTGTTGTGTCAAAATCTAAAAGGAGATAAAAACTTACATTTAACAGTGCTTCGGGATTCCTGGTAGCCTGCGTACTCTGATCCCCATCCAAGGCTTTCACACTGCTTATGTGTCCCTTGCACCTTGCTGGCAGTCTGGAGGTCGTCACGACCCCTTTCCCCGCCACTGGTGCACATTCTCCACAGCCCCACGCTCCTCTTACGTCCATCTTCCAGATCCTGAAAGACCCAGCTCGGGGTGAAGGCTGCAACATTATTCAGGACGAGGGAGAGCAGGGCTACCACCACCGCCGCCGCCACCAGCCTCTGCACGGCCACGCAACGCCTGGCGCCCGCCACCTCTCCCCCTCCGTGGTGTCCCTCCTGCAGCTGCTGTTCCTCCTCAGCGTACTGCTCGCTCCCCTCCTCAGAGCCAGAGGCACCAGCAGCGCTCTGGGTCCCCTGACTCCGCTCCACGGCCTCCTCTTCTTCCAGCGGTGCGCTGTGCGCGTCGGCAGGAGTGCTGTTTTAGGGACTAGCTAAAGAACATCTCCATTCATCCTCATTCAGGAGTTGGTTGTTGTTGCGGCAGATCCTCAGCCCTCCTCCTCAGACAGCAGCGTGGGTACTTGGGGATTAATCCAGCTGGGACCTGGGTCCATTCCACTGACTTCCACTGTCTGCAGCTTGGCTTTTAAGTCTTTGTTTAAAATTGGCCTCGGTGTGTGTCCTGGTTCTTAATCTCCTTTTCTTTGCTTCTCTGCTTTGATGCACTCTCCTGACTTCTTTGAGTGCAGAAAGTTTCTCTGTAGACAACCTTTTTTGAAATCCCTCACTAGTAGTGCCACATTGTTTTCAACAAATAAGATTTAAAAAACACATTGATCCTTAGGACAGCGTTGTTAGGACCTGACTCGTTGCTGGCTTTGCTTGAGGTAACTTGGAAGTGCCCACTCTCTCTGACTTGTGACTGGAACAAGTAGTCCTCTAACCCACCTCCTGCAGCTTCTTTCTTTATTGCCCACCCCTCTCTCTCTCTCTCTCTCTCTCTCTCTCTCTCTCTCTCTCTCTCTCTCTCTCTCTCTCTCTCTCTCTCTCTC